TCCATCCACTATGTTGAAGCTTTAGCAGCTCGATATCAGTTTGTGGGCACACAAAATGCAACTCACGTAAGAATTGGAGCCGCGCGTCGAACCTTCCGGGAATACGTCCAAAACTTGATGCCAAAATTTTGTTCACCTATAAAACTGAATACGAATGAATACGTATGTTAATAACCAAAATTCTTGCATTCGGAATGATGATAATCATTATGGTGTTCTCTACAGGCAGAGGGAATCATTGCTTCATACTTCCTCAAAAACAATGCCGGATATAATGTGACTGTAACATTGTCAATAAGGAAAGCTATGAGACGATTTTCCTACGAGCCCTCCTCCAATTTGTGGTATGCGTCTTGATGTTTGCCAACAAATAGAGGAACTTACATTTGATTCTAAGCCGCCTTCGAACTTCCGATAGATTTTTATGAGAGGCTATTATTTCATGCCAGAAATATACTCAGAACACTTGATTTGACATTCCCAGCCGAGGGGCCACCGCAATTAAAAAAATTAATTTTCTATATTATTGGATGTTGCTGAAACTAGGACACGAACCCAGTTGTTGAGATTGAAAGTACGCTAAGCTAACCACTGGGCTACTGTGACCGCAATGAAAAACGCTTTACAGCCATAATTAATGGCTTTTTCATGCTGGGGTCAACCTTGGGTTACAACAAGATGACGCTACAGCCAGTGAAGCTATCCATTCATTGAAGCAAACTATTTGTGAGCTCTGTGGCATAGCCTCCAAGATCGTGTGGGGTTATAGGAAAGCGCTTAACATCTTATAAGAGAATATTCGGTGGGTGATCATTAATAATTGCTGCAAAAAGTAGTCTGAAATTAGATCTCTCGTTGGGAATTTATTCAAGCCAACCGCGGCAGTGACTTGCCCGAAATAACTTTTAAAACATAACGGAGCACCTTTATCTTTGTAATAATGCTAAATTCTTGATAATGACATTAAGTCCAGGTTCCTCCATGGGTTTTTTCACACTCAAATTCTATTTATTTAAAAAATATTTATAAGTCAATGTTTTTGCAGATAAGTAGACGTATAAAAATATTAATTGAAAAACAAGTTTTTTTTTTAATGTTGACTCTTAAAGTTGCCGCTGAAACACTTCCCTTTTGTTGGTGAGTTATACGATAACTGTCGAACGAATTATCTCAAAGCAAAAATCAAAATGGTTTCTCATTCTGTATCACATCGACTATGGCCGAAGCTACTATGAAACATTTTCACAAAAAAAAAATCAAATTTAGCGGACTTTTTAATTTTTGTTTACCCCGTTTTCAGTTTTAATTGTTAATACATTTTTAAATAACAATGAATATTTTTGGTTTTAGTACCGACCATAGAGAAATATTTTAGGAGTAAAATATCGTTTAGTTCAAATTGAGTGTCACCTAGTTGAAAAAGCGATTAGAGTATTTGTTTGGCCGGATTTGTCGCTTAGAGCGCTCCCTTCTTATATACTTACTTCTTGGTCTTGCGGACTTTCGGAACTAATTCTATATTATTTCTAAGAGTATATCTAGAAATTTACAGGAAAAAAATTTCAATTTTTTGAACATTTTTTATAGAAACCTGGTCCTACATTACTAGTGTCCTATTTTTTCATGAAAACCACATGACTAAAAAACACTCGTTATTAGTTTGAGAACATATTTATTAAAGTTGGATTTGTGGCCCAGTTTTGTTGATAAGAAGTAGAAAAGAAAATTAATTTGGATTTTTGGAATGCGCTTACATTTATTTACAATATTATATACAATACATATGTACGTGTATAATATGTGGGTAATAAAAGTTCAAATTTTCTATAAGTTGAATATAATTTGTTTTTGTATTTTTTGTGTATCGGTTTTTTTTACTGAAGCCCTAATCCTCCCTTTGTGTCTAAAAATGTTGCCACGTATTCCTGCAAAGCTTCAGTCAATCTACTTAGCTGCTCTATTGCAACGTCGAGCTCCGCTAATAGCTTTTGGAGAGCAAAAGCCCCGAAACGGCTTATCTCTCCTTTCAATTCTTTTATCTTCGTCAGTTGTTCATCTATTTTCTTCTGAATATCAGCAGGTGAAGTGGCGTTTGTCAAGTAAAATATAGCGAATGACAGGCAAGAAATGAATAAAACTTTGTTAGCGAACATTTTAATCAAAAATCAAACTTAAACTTCTTAACAACCAGATATACCAGATATGACCGTAAGTTGTTAACTGATGTTGCAGTTGCATGATGGCCCTTTTATATTTAAATTCGCCAGTACATTACAATTTGCCAGCATATTTACACAGTTGTTTAGATGTTGACTTAAAAAACAAAATTAAATTTTATAAATTTTTGCAAATAATACACATACATACGTATATTATACTTTTTCTCCCAAACGTTATCGTTCTTTGAAGAAAGTGGCCTTGAAAGCTAAAAAGCTGGTAAAACATACTTTTTATTGCGATGGTGCATTTTGTGCAACAACATTCATATACATATTTATGTATATGCGTTCATATACACCCAATTTTGTAAATATATGTGTATATACAGTGTGTATATATGATACGGCTGAAAAACCCATCAATGGCTTGATAGGAGTTAGTACCAAATGAAAGTTTAAGAACGTATTCTTAATAAAATTTAAGATTTTACTTTTCCCATTCTTGTCTCCTCCTTGATTGCCATGCGAGTATCAACCACCTTAAGGCAAGCGAAAAACGGATCGTAAATTTCCAACCCATGACCTAAATTCGTGATCACAAAATCATGGGCATCTCATGCGAAGAGCTGATGCACCCAACACCCCACGAACCACACACAGCATCACGAGCGGTTTAAATCATACGAGTATACGAAAAAAATTGGAATTTGATTTCAAAAACTCTCAGATGAATGTTTTTTAATTACGTCCACCCCTCGTCCAGGAAATGTCAACACCTCCGAGAATATTTCTGACATGAAATAAAGTCTAAATAAACTGGATGTCCCTATATTTTGTTGGAAAAACATCAATAGGCGCACCACAATATTGCTTCAACGATTACAAAGCGAAAACAAAAAATTATTTATAATTGGCAATCTATTACCCCTGAAGCGATATCGTGGTGTGTGTGTCTTAATGCTTCCAATTTATTTTAAGTCACCTTCCAAAGGCTGATGTATTTTTATAAAGAGATTTAATTTCATAAATACTCGTACACCTTAAATAGTTGACCCTGCACGATATGTTGGTTGCCACAAAAGAGAAAAGCGATTTTTCATACAGACAACGTTTTTTAATTTATTATTATCTTAAAGGAAAAATGCAGCGCAGGTTGCTAGAAAGTTGCATATACAGTTGTCAAAGTTTGCTTGTCAAATTCCGTTCGGGAGATCTTTCACCCAAAGTTAAGCCACGTTCAGGTCGGCCCAGTGAAGTTGATGATGATGATATCAAGGCTTTATTCGAATCGAATCGCCGTGTCAATGAGCGTGAGATAGGAGGGAAGTTAAATATACCAAAATCAACCGTTCATAACGGTCATATACGACGTCTTGGACAGGTAGAAAAATTTGATATTTGGCTACCAAATGAATTGAAAGAAATTCACTAATAAGCCGCTTCAACGCTTTTGATATGCATTTTAAGCGCAATGAATGCGATGCGTTTTTGAAGCAAATCATTACTGGAGATGAAAACTGGATTGTTTACAATAACGTCAATCGAAAACCATACCAAAAGCCACTTCAAAGGCTGATATTCATCAAAATAAGATTATGCTGTTAGTTTGGTATGATTGGAAGGGTGTGGTATTTTTTGAGCTGCTTCCAAAGAACCAAACAATTCATTCGGATGACCACTACAAACAACTGGACAAATTGAATTTATACATCCATTAACTACAATAGAAGCGGCCAGAATTGGTCAATCGCAAAGGTGTCATATTCCACCATATAATAATGATAGACCACACACATTTTTGGGCAATCACCAAAAACTGAGAGAGCTTGGCTGGGAACTGTTGATGCGTCCACCCTATAGCCCCGAACTTGCACCGTCAGACTACCATTTGTTTCGATTTTTGCAGGACTCATTAAATGGTAAAACTTTCGAAAATGACGAGGCTATAAAATCGAAATTGCATGGAATAATAATGTTGCCGGAAAGATGGCGAAAGGTCATCCAACAAAATGGAAATTACATAATTGATTAAAATTTATTCTAAAATTAAAAAAAAGAAAAAAATATATTTACTTTCTTTTTAAAGGCACAGGAAGATTATATGCTAGATTATGGACTGGCGCCTACGGCTAATTGGGCGAGAAAATCCGATCCCACTTTTAGTATTAACCACTGCCCGGCTAATTGTGGCTGCTTGTAAAAATAAACTCCGACATCACCGCAGTCCATCTGCCATCATATGTGAGCCCATCGCCTCTAATAACGCTATTCCATTGTCTGAAGATCTTTAGGGTAATTTGTAATTCATTTGATAATATGAGGTAGCTGAAATCAGAACTGTGATTTGATTTATGATACCTTTGATACTTTCTAAGTAAACGTCGCTTGAGATTTGAAAACGGAAGTCAGACAGCTGAAAATGTCCTGATACTGTAACAGTTACTCATGCATCAGCTGCATTAGCAAAAAATTATTCTTAAGAAATGCTTAATGGAAGGATTGTATGAGATCGGCAGCTTAGATAAATAATTTATTTGGCTTGGCTTATGTTGTTATCGTTGTTGTTGTTGTTATTGTTGTTGTTATTGTTGTTGTTATTATTGTTGTTGTTGTTATTATTATTATTATTATTATTATTATTATTATTATTATTATTATTATTGCTGTTGTTGTTTTTGTTGTTGTTGTCGTATTGTTATATTTATTTCATCTTACTTCACTCTCAGTTGTTCTCATATAACCGTTAAAGTGATTTTCGGCTAATTTACACGTCTAAAAAAATTTTCCAACAAATAGAGAGACCTCGAGTCTGATCAAAGCGAAATATTTTATCTTTCCAAGTTTATAGTATACTAGTGAACGCTCCAATGGAAAACTTTACAACGCCTCGGATGTACTGAGGCCCAGAATATATTGAATTCATGGAGGGTACAACGCCAGAAGATGGCGAGGCCGATTCCCTAAGGATGACAAAGGAACAAATGTTTCATTGCCCGATTATGTCTGCAACAATTACGGTGGAATAAACCTCTTTAACATCGCATATAAAGCCCTTTCCAGCACATTGTGTGACAGACTAAAGCCCACCATCAACAAACTGTTTGGACCTTATCAGTGGGCTTTAGACCTGGTAAGTCAACCATCGACCAGATATTCACTATGCGCCAAATCTTAGAAAAGACCCGTGAAATGAGGATGGACACTCACCACGTTTTCGCCGATTTTAAAGCAGCCCTCGACAGCACGAGGAGGAGCTGACTATCTCCGAATTAGGTATCCCCGCAAAACTTATACGACTATGTAAACTGACCTTGGCGTACGCCGATGATATCAACAAGCGCATGGTGTGTTCTGCTTTCTCCAGACTTGATAAAGAAGCGAAGCGAATGGTTCTACCATAGTAGTGAATGAGACAAGACGAAATATCTTCCGTCATCAAACAAATAGTCATTGCACCAGCGACTCGGTTCGGGTGTCCTCATTTGACATACGCTCAAACACTACTGATAAATACTTCTGCCGTTATTTTTGTAGTACAAAGTTTGATTATAGCTGTATTTTTTTTTCTTATTAAGAGCCACAGCAACCGCTTAATAGTTTTGTCCTTTCAAAATCTAAGGTTATACCGGCCTGCCTGGTTTTACTTACTTAGACTTTGTAGTGCCAGATGGTGAATTAATTTAATTCGCGGTGTAGTAGTCGTCACGTAGGATGCCAACTATTGTGCCTCGTTATCCCAGTTTGAAACCGCTGAACAGTCTAAAATTTCTTGTCGAAAACGTAGAGACCTCCTGATCCGTTTCGTACGGAGTTGTTGGTGAGTTCACCCAAAAAAATTGGTCTGTAGGTCGATAGGTCAACTTTTTGGCTGCATGTTGTGATTGCTGCCTCTCGTCATCCTAACTTTCTTGTGGTTGCCGGAAACGACCTTAGATGGTTTCTATTAAAATTTGGCGCAGGATTAATATCGGCGACTTACGTAGAGTGGTAAAACCGAAACTTTTTTCTCTATGAACGAATTAGATTTGAATACTGACATTCAGAGCATACAGTGTACATAATTGCAGCGAGAATGAAAAGTGAAAGATAACGAACCCGAACCAAACGACGATAGTCGATTGTTTACTGGCTGAGCTATTCAAATGTGACTACAACGAAAAAAAACTATATGATTGTTGTTAGAAAAACCAACCCACGCTTTGGTGTTGAGTATGTCAGGATGTCTGGATATGTAAAAAATTAAACCGACTACAATATTCAGACCTTAATTGTGCCAGTATTACTCGGAACGTTCGACCCAGCTCGGAATCCTCGTCTACAATGGGTAATGATTTGACTCCGAGAACGCCATCCACTGGAAGTGAGTTCAAGAAGATGTTAGAGGACTCTATGGGAATATCGTTCAAAGCCTGTCGGAACGTCGTCCTATCTAACGGTTCCTGTACGTGATACGTGGAGCTGAATAGAGTCCTTGTAGTCGAGTACTCCTTCTCTAATGTGAATGGGATGCTACCGTAGGAAGGAGACATTGCTAGCAGAGCATAGCACTATGCTGTGGAAAAAATGCCAGCTGTTTTTGCTTCTTCTAGACATTTCAATTTTTTGATTTATGCCGTTTTTTAATATGTAATTTTTAAAAAGAAAAAGGGAGTTTTTTAATATTTTTTTCTCTAAGATTGATTTATTTCATTTTGTTATTATTACTTTTTTTGCTATCACATTTCCGTTTTCAGGCGTTTTTTTTAACTTATTTTAATATTTTCTCTATTGACATACATACATATGTAAGTACGCTGTTTTTGTACCAGAGACCAGTATAAATATATGTATATTTTTTTGCAATAAAATCTCTATATATAACAGTATTGTCACAATATTTTTACTAAATTGAAAATTTTAAAATCAGTAAAAAAATTAATAAAGAAAACACTGTGCGCTTTTGACAGTATGCAAATATATATGTATGTATAACAGTAAATTAACTCATTTTATGAAAATGCTAACTATCTGATGCCTCTACCATTGATATATATATATAATTTTTTTTTGCACATTAATAGGAATTCTAATTCATGTATCATCTTGAATTGTGGTTGTCTTCATATTTCATTGTCTCACTTCACCTTCGAGCGAAACCCCTTAGCCACAAGTGGCGCCACCTCAGATGGATCGCGTTCACGCGTCTCAGGCAAATAGAATTTCGTTAGCGAGAAGAGCAGTAAGCACGTAACGGAGAATGGCAAGAAAACGAAAGCGCCCCAGGCGTTTTGCAGAGACGGGAAAGCCATGCCGACTGTGAAATTACATACCCACGATGATAAGCTGCCCATCGACATAGCCACCGAACGGGGTGCGACTTCGAAGAGTTCTGTTCGAAATAAAAATAAATATAAATATTTGTTTTTCATTTTTTTAAATCTTAATAATACTCTCATAAAGTACTACACATATATATTAATATTGATTAGAGAGAACAAAATTTTACTTTATTAAAAAGTAATTTAAATCCAATATAAATATATTGCCGAATATGGTCTAATGAACTGTAACCAATTTTCGTATAGTTTCCTAATGCGAGAAGAAGACAACACCCCGCACTTCTTGTTAATTTTTACGGAGTTTAGAGGACCTTGGACCTACAGCACTCATGACGTCTCGGAGTTGGCTTCGTTTAGGTCGTCAGCTCTGAATTAGCCGCTATACCAGTTTGTATCAGTTTCAATTCCACCATGCACTGTGTGACATCCTATATATGTATATATGACACTTTGTAGTCACCAATTTCGGAAGAGCTCCTCCAATAAATGGATAGTCCAACAGTTTATCCTAAGCCACCTCCGAACAGCCAATGGATTTTTATAAAGAGCTTGACAGAACTTGAAACCTGGTTTTCCGAATAACCGTACGTAATGCTAACCTCTTGGCTTTTACGAGCGCCGCGTTACTTTGGTTGCTGTTAATTCAGACTTTGAATGCATTTGTGGAGGATCACCGATCTTTGACTATGATTTTTTTGATTTAATATTTTCTTTCATATTTCACTAATTTCTCATAGACCCTGATGAGTGACTCCAATGCCCATTCTATGTGAAAATGCGGTGCCTTAGAGACCAAGGCTTACTAAGCCAGATATGCACTCCTCAACTGATAAACACCGAACAACAATTACACGCCTAAAAAACAACAAAGCGGTCTGGGTTGATGATATAACGTCCGTGCCATTTAAATATGATGGTAAAGAACTGCCAAAGTTCATGCAAAGGCACATATACATGAGTTCTCTGTCCAAACTACAAGATTCGAGAGGCTCCATAAAATTATCGCATTCATAAAACCGATCAGAACTTGTTTTCATGGCTTCAGACCTGGATAATCTACACTTGGCCTGATAATCATCATGAAAAAGATTCGAAACACCCCATGAAAGAAAGCTGTCTCTTCTCCACTATGTCTAAATTTAGTTTACCAACATTTGCCTGTCTAAAATGAGAACGAGTTATACCAAGAGCTCCGTCAGAATAGGGATGCTCCTCTTCCTGTAATACGATAAATACGATACTAAACGAGGATTCTCACAATATAATTTTTTATCATGTGATTACTAGAGAGAAAGTACAAGCTTACCGACTTGATCTGGTAGCGATTCTAGATAAGACGAAATATCTCCTGCAACCCGGTAATAGTCAGCGCAGTTTCATCTTGGCTTCCTCGTCACAGTCGCTACATCAATAACAATATCAACCTTGAAATGCGACCAAGAATTATTCTTACCAACAGGTGAAATGAAATGAGAAATATAGTCCTTTTTGGATAAATAAACATCGATCTTAGCAAGTCACTAATTATTCCTTTATAGAGGAATGATCGAGAGAATGATTTTCCGAAAGATGGCGAAAAAAGGTCAAAAGGATGAAAACAATGCAACTTTGAAAGTTTTCGATGCAGTACGCGGCGATGGAAGCAGAGTATACGAAAGACCCTCATAACGTTAAAGGTATGGAGTATGAGAAGGCCCTGGCATCACTACGTGTTTCCAGTCAGGAGCAAATGGCGAACGAAGACAAGAAACGACGTGATTGTTTACTCGATTAGAAAATACTTTGGTGGTGCCAAATCAAAAAGGTTGAATCTGATTACTAAGCTATTAAATTAAATAAAAGAAAATCTTCATGCGAAATATTCTCCCGTACGAATTATGAATATTATATAAATAAATTCAAAAGCTGTTTTTGGGAACAAATCCTTCATGCCTCCAATTATTGCTGTTGCCTGTGTGGCGTGTGTTGCTTTGGAAGCTAAATTAAAGCGAATTCTGGCGCGCGCAACAATTTAGCATACGAATTGCACAACAGAAGCACCGTGAAAGGTATAAAAAAAAGGAGTAAAATGTACTTTTTTGAATCGGACAATTCAGTTTTTCGGAGTTAGACTTTTTAACAGCCTTACTTACTGGTTCGGTTTGCGAGCTGCGTCCAAGCTGTGGTTGAAGCAATCGCATAGAAAAGTTCGCAATTCGAGCAACCATGGATCGGTTTCACACGACGTGTGCTCCAGTGGATAAAGCGCAGCCTCAGTACAGCCGTACAGTGCTCAAGGAAGACACCATTGCTGCTGTGGAACAAAGTATCGAAGAAGACCTAAAAGATTCATCCGCCATCGCGCGACATATTTGGACCTGTGCTCACCCACTTTGTGGAAGATTTTGTGGAAGGATCTTGGTTTTCGGGCATACAAAATCCATCTGGTGTAAAAATTGAAGCCAAACGACCATCAAGTGTGTCTCACGTTCGATGAATGGGTCCAGAACGAGTTGGCGAACGATCCCGATTTTCGCAAGCAAATGTTTTTTCAGCGATGAAGCTCGCGTTAATAACACGTTAATAAGCAAAATTGTGTCATTTTGTCAAATCAAATAGTGTTGATAATTCACAAGTCTTCAAAATTAAAACCCGCTATAATGTTATAGTACACTATAGGAAACTTTTGGCCGCTTGTCAATGCAGATAAATCTGAGGCAATTGACGCCTTCGAAGAGAATATTCGGCACGTTATTGCTGATATACGATCCTAATTGCTGCCACAAGTGCTCGAAAATTAGGCCTCTCGATAGGAATTTATTAAAGCGAGCCGTGACAGTCGCTAGCCTAAAATAATATTTAAAACATAAGGACGAGAACCCTTGTCTTTGAAATAAAGCAAAAATCTTGGTCATAACATTAAAATATATATTGAGCCTGACATATTAAAACCGTTAAATCATCAACCCAAATGCTATGTAGCCATACATACGTGTATATTATATTTAAAAATTAGTTCAGATTTCAACAGCTGCAGGCCACTAACACTTAATTGTCGTACAGACAAATGAAAGCAAAAGGAAACATCAGCAGCTAAAAATAAAGCTTGACTTCGTTAAATGTCTTGGCTGGCACATTTTCATAAATATATTTTGTCTGAGTTGCCTGTGCAAATAATTCCTTATAACTCAATCACGCGAACACTATACAAAATTGTGAAAATAAAGTCTACAATTCAATCGCATTCAATTAATTAAGTAAACTTAATAACAAATGGCAATCAGTCGTTAGGTCAATAACTTGATTTCATTACTGAAAATGCGCAGTGAGCATTAAATGTAAAAATGTGAAATTAATTTTTTACCTGCATTGCATGACAATACAGGTAAACAGCAGTAATGGATATGCATTTTTATCATTTATATATTTAAAAAAAAAGAGGAACCTAGAGTTTACACGTACACTAAGCTGATGGATTTTTATGAGGAGCTTTGATTAAGGGGTATGGCCACAGTAGAATTTTTTAAAAATCGTTTTTTTTTTGCTTAAACGATGCTTTATAGTCATAAAAATGATATGCCATTTAACTCAGAATGAAATAATCATTTTTGACTGATTGAAGGTGTATATCGAAAGGCCACCTCCGGCTCGGCTAACTTATATGTGAAACTTTAAACGCGTTTTTCTCGAAACACTTTTTCTTGTATTGGCGTGACAAATAACTTGTACAATTTTGAACCGATTGACTTCAAATTTTGACATCATGTTTATTATTGCATTCCGCAAGGAAGTACGTAGGGGATTTTCGATTAATCAAGTACTTTTTTGTTATGACTAGTTTATTACAGAATTATTGACTAAAAATGCACGTTTTCTGTTCAAATCCCTATAATTTCCATAAAAATCAATATTTTTGAAATCCCCTACGTACTTCTATAGCTATTGTCATGCAGATTAATGACATTTTTTTGTTTTGTTCCAGGACAAGAATTGTAGATGCAAAATGTCACGCCGTGGAGCGCTTTAGAAAAATGGATGAAAAAGAGATCAGAAATATCGGCCATTTTGTGCCGGAAAAAAAATTTAAAAAAAAATAGTTTCTCATAAGCTTTATATCTGAACTTCATCGGTATGTGATTATTTTCATGAATAAATAATAGTTCCATACAAAAAAAAATATTACATTTGCACATGGTTTTTTACCCGCTACTGTGGCCATACCCCTTAACATGTTAGAAATACACTCCGCGGGCTTGATATTCCCTGCCGAGATGCGACACAATTAGCGCATTTAATAGTTTTTGATTAATAATGAATTGAATAATACAAAAATAGATTATATGGTTGATGTTGACGCAGAGGTAGAGCACTCGCCTGTTAAGTCAATCCATACCATAAGCAGTCTGATGAGGGGATGTGGTGTTCTCTGATGCAGCTGTCATTTCTACCATATTTCTCTATTGTATAACGAAAATATTCAATTCGTACAAACAAACCAGACCTTTATTTAGCTCACAAAAATCAATAGTATTTTTTAACTTTATATTATTTTCTTTTACTTTATTTTCATTTATTTTTTTATTCTATTCTATTTTATTTTAATTCAGCTTATTTTTTTTTATTTTATTTTAATTTAGTTTGTTTCATTTTATTATCTATTTTATTTCTTTTATTTTATATTATTTTGCTTTATTTTGGTTTATGTTATTTTATTTATTTTATTTTATTTTAAGTTATTTTATTTTCTTTAATTTAGTTTACCTTTACTGTATTATATTATTTTTTTTATTTTTTATTTATTTTATTTTGTTTATTTTTAAATCTATTTTATTTTGGTTAACGTTATTTTATTAAAACTTTTTATTTTATTTATTTGGTTTTATTTTACTTTATTTTATTTTAAGTCATTGTATTTTTCTTATTTTTTTATATTCTCCCCTTTTTCATTTAATTATTATTTTTTTGTCCTTAATGTTTTTTTACTTTTATATTGTCTTATTTTATTTTAATGATCTTTATTTTATTTAATATAAATTAATTTTAAATTATTTCATTTAATTTTTTTTTCTTTTTTTTATTTCTTTAATTTAGTTTGATTTTATTTCTTTTTTATCTTAATATTTTATATCCATTATTTTGTGTATGTTATTTCATTTTATTTTGGTTTTTTTTATTTCTTTTTTTATTTTTATTTATATTAACTAAACGCAATTCAATTCGATTATTGACCTAAATTTGTTTTTACAAAAAATACTCGATATCAGAGCCTTTCAACAACTCGTCAACGATTGGATACATTACTATTATCATATTTACATTTGAAAACAGTTCTTATATACACACCTGAACCAACAAAGTATGGTATCGGTCCCAAACCGATTTGATAGAAGAATATATAACCCATAATACACGCAATACAAATTATGGGGAACCAGCTGGTAGTATCCTGTGCGAAACAATAAGAAAAACATATAATATTGTCCACATAAATGAAATAATAAAAACAAAATCGTTTAACAAAACTCACGATATAGTACAAAACAAAGGCGATGGTAAAGAGGAAGACAGCACAAACTCCAGTTGAAACCATCATCACCGGACGGCGATTCAGTTTGGACATTAGCATTGGTCCCAAAAAGGCTACACTTAAATTCAGACAACCAGCGCCCAAATTTGCCCACTCCGCATCGGCTGTTGAAAGTCCAGCTTTCTCAAAGATTGACACCGAATAATAAAATATCTAAATAATTGGAAATGGAATATATTATGTAACACTTTTTCATTTTAGAATTATCATATTTACTCATACACTTTTGAATGCATTCGACTTACAGCGTTAATGCCCGATAACTGTTGACCACCTTGGAAGGAGCATACAATTATCAAAGGTAATAAAAATGTTGGATCTCGCAACACCGAAATGAAGCTACATGTTTGTACTTTTGTATTCACTTCCGCTTCCATTTCATCAATTTCATGATTTATAACAATCGTCGCATTTGGCCCCTTACATATACGACGTAATTCACTACGAGCCTGCTCCTGATTATTACGTACTATATAAAGATATTTGGGACTTTCTGGGAAATAGTATGAGGGTAAATAGCATAAAGCCACAAGTATGATGTAAAAACTCAAAGCATAATGCCAATATTCTTCTGTGCCGAAGACATAGCGTAAACTGAAGACTTGTCCCACCACAACACCACCAGTTACCCCCATCGAACATAAAACGCCAAATGTGCCGCGTAAGGCGAGTGGTGCGATTTCTGTAAGGTACATTGGTAACACACCGGTGGTCAGACCAGACGCGAGGCCGACTATAAGACGACCCAGTAAAAGCATTTCCACAGAGCCAGCTGCACGGCAAAAGAAGAAGAGTATCGCGCCGATGGTGAAAAGTCCGCCACTAATTAGAAAACTGCCTTTTCTGGAATTAAAAAAGGTGGATAATGAAAAAATGCAATGAAAATATGTAACATTTAAAAATTTAGATAAAATCATATTTATTTTAAATAAGTGAAAATGATTATAAGTATAAACAAGTAAGAAATGTTGTCTTCACCTAATCTGAAATTATCTAATTATTTGATAAAACTGGCAACCAACTGAATTAATTATTTCTCTGGGTAAGGCATTTTAGTAGGCCAGGGTTCGAGTTCTGGTTCCACCAAGTGTATTTTTGACAAGAAATAAAAAGCTCCTAATACGAAATCTATCGGCCGTTCGGAACTGTCTTCGAAAAAAGAGTATGTCTCTCCATCTGTTGGTAAAATATTAAAACGCACACCACAAAGTGGAGAAAGAGCTCGACCGAAAATCGTTTCAGCGATTATATTTTATTTAAATATTTTATTTTACTTTATTATATTTTATTTTTCTTCTATTTCATTTAATTAATTAATTATATTATATATATTATTATTATTTTATTTTATTTTATTTATTTTACTTTATTATTTTCACTTTTCTCCTAATTTGAGTAATTTTATTTTATTTAAAATCATTTTCTTTTCTTTACTTCATTTTAATGAATTTTAGTTTATTTCGTTTTACTTTATTTTATTGTTGTTCTTTTCTTTTAAATTTAAATAATTTGATTTTCTTTAATTTAATCTAAATATAATTTAATTGACTTCATTTATTTTTAGGTTCTTTTATCTCATTTTAATGAGTTTTGGTTTATTTTATTATTATTTTTTAAATTTATGTTTTCTCGTCTTAGTTTATTTAATTATTTTTTCCTTTATTTTAATTAATTTTTTTAGGAATTTTATTTATCTATTTTGTTTTTATTATTAAAATAAATTTCATTATTTTATTATATTTAATTTTCTTTTATTTTTTTATTTTATTGTATTTAATTTTATTTAATTTCATTTCTTTATTTCATTTTTTTTACTTCATTTATTATATTCTATTTCGTTTCATTTCATTTCATTTCATTTTATTTTATTTTATGCTTTACGTTTTATTTAATTTTATTTTATTATTTTTTTTTGTTTTATTTATATATATATATATTATAATATATATTTTATTATATTTTACTTTATTTTATTTTATTATATTATATTATATTATANCATATAAGTCAATCACAATATATAAAAGATATTTTACAACGCCATGGTATGACACAGTGTAGATCTGCAGCAACACCACTGGACAAAAGTTTTGTCGTTGACTGTAATAATGATACATGCAGGCGAGCTGAGCAACTAAAGTATCAATCTTTGATTGGAGAATTAATGTATTTGGCTTTATGTACACGGCCTGATATAATGCATTCAGTATGTAAGTTAGCCCAACGTAATTCAGATCCTCATGTTGAGCATGAAGCAGGTCTAAAACATATTTTAAGGTACCTAGCATCCACGACTGAGTTGAAACTATGTTATCGCGAATCTGGGAAATCAATTGTAGGGTTTACGGATGCAGATTGGGGCAACGATTTAACGGACAGAAAATCATTTTCTGGATATGCATTTTTTCTTGGCGGCAGTGCAATCTCATGGCAATCGAAAAAACAACGGACGGTCGCTTTGAGCAGCACAGAAGCAGAATACATCGCTCTTGCGGAGGGAGTTAAGGAGTCATTATTTTTGCGAAATCTATTAGAAGAGATTGGATACGAACAACAAAAACAGACAACTATATATAGCGATAATCTAAGCGCTCAACATTTGTCTATGAATCAATTGTTTCATGGTAGAAGTAAACATATTGATATAAGGTATCACTTCATTAGGGATAAAATTAAAAATAAAGAAATAGATGTAAGATATATAAATACTAATAAAATGATAGCTGATATTTTAACAAAGAACTTATGTAAAACTAAACATATGAAATTTACTGAGAGTTTAGGATTGAAATAAAGCAAATCATTTGCGTTGAGGAGGAGTGTTAAATATGTAAGGCAACGCCAATGTATTGCGAGTAGCGAGTAGTTAAACTTAAAACTCTTGTACATACATACAATATAACATTGTAATAACTTTTAGTCGCATTGAAACCATTAAACGAATTGGATTACTTTAAACCACGTCTTTCTCTGGTATGTTCTCTTGGTGTTCTCCAACAATGGTTATGGGCCCAGAGACACGTTGTTGATCCTAGTAGCCCAGAGACACGTGGAAGATCGTTGAAGCACAGAGACATGTAGAGTATCTTTGAAGTAAAAAGATATTGCGACTAAGGCGAATTAAACTTGTTAAGACAAGGTGCAATTATTTCTTAAAAATGAGTTCTACGGGATTGCTGCAAATCGAAAAATTAGATGGTCATAACTATGACAGCTGGAGTGTCCAGATGAAAAGTATCCTCATACACTCAGACTTATGGAAAGTTGTCAGCGGAAGATTTGTGAAGACTGAGGCGGTGAGCGAGAAGTGGGATGAACTGGATGAGAAGGCGTTGGCTACGTTAACTCTCGGCGTAAAGACGTCGCAGCTGATGCACATCAGGAAATGTAAAACTTCTCTGGAGGCGTGGATAGTGTTGCAGAATTTATACAAATCTACTGGTCCTATACGCAAGGTGTGTCTATACAAGAAATTGATGAGCATGCAAATGCAAGAAGGTGATGATGTACAGAAGCACATGAACGAATTTAGTAACGCTGCTGATAAGTTAGCAGAAATGGACACTGCATTGCCGGATGAACTACTGGTTGTTATGCTATTATCAAGTTTGCCCAAAAGTTTCGATAACTTTGTAATAGCTATGGAAACGAGAGATAATTTACCTCCGTTTAATTTCGTGACGGCGAAAATAATCGAAGAAGGTGAACGCAAGCGGGATAAGCCGATCGAAAATACCGGTATCCATGTATATGCTCAGGTAAATTCTAGAAAAACAAGCAACAACATTAAGCAAATAGAACAAAGCAAAAGTAAAAGCAGAAAAGAATTGAGATGTTATGCATGCGGTCGAACGGGTCATTTCGCAGCAAAATGCAGAGACATAGATAAGAGGAGAAATATGTATGGTGAGCAGAAATCATTTACAATGTTAGCAGCAGCAACAAATGCATCGATACTCAATTCCCCTTCGTGGTGCGTCGACAGTGGGGCTACAGCGCATATGTGCAGTGATCGTAATGTGTTCACGAAATTTGAAGAGCGAAAAGAGAGAATTACGTTAGCTGGTGGAAATTATATGTATGCTGAAGGTATAGGTGAGATTGAGTTTAAATCAAGATATGGTGACTTATTACTAAAAGATGTATTGTACATACCTGAAATGGGTGGCAATTTTATATCAGTAAGCAAAGCTGTGCAAAGAGGTTTTTATGTGAAATTTACAAATGCAAATGCTTTGATATATGATAATGACGGGAAAGTTGTATTGAAAGCGGCACATAGTGGTGGCTTATTTGTTGTAATGAATGAGAATGCCAAATGTTTTAATGCAAATACAAATGAGTGCGAGAAATGGCATGCGAGATTCGGTCATTTAAGTTATGGTAGCTTACAACAACTAGTTTCACATAATATGGTTCATGGTATTGAAAATGTTAAATTTAGTAAAGAAATAAAATGCACAGTGTGTATGAAAAGTAAAATACATACACAACCTTTTCCGCAGAAAGCTGCAGTGAGATCTAAAGAATTGCTTGATTTGATACACACGGACGTTTGTGGTCCATTTAGAACTCTGTCACTTGNTTATTTTTTATTTAATATTATTTTTTATTTTATATTATTATTAAAGCGCTCATTTTCCACTGAATATTAGTCTTTATCATAGGTTAAATATAACATACATATATACTAATCTATAAAACTAAACTAATCAAATCAGCAAACCACACAAAAAATCTATTTTACTTTTGCTATAAATTTGTATATTAGCAAAAACGTCTAACTTAGTAACTAACCTGCCAAATTTATTGGCCGCTCTAGCGCCACCGAGCGAACCAACAGCTCCACCTATCAAGAAAATTGAAACGACCGATGACCAGAGCAAATCTATACCAGAAGCACTTAGATTAGAACCGTAACGTTGATGCAAGGTCTCATTACACCAAACTTTTATTATCTAAAGGAAATAAAGAAAATAATAATAATAATAATAATACCAGTAATAAATCATAAAAATACTGAAGAGAAGAAAATTAAAAAAAAACGTATATGCTAATCATGAAAAGCATATCATACACATATACATGAATGCATATCAACTTACTGACGCCGGCGCATTGATAACTCCAATACAGTAGCCAACTGGAACTGCTGAGCCGAAGGTAGCAGCGAAGCCAATTAACAACAACAATGCGCTCCATTGAGGTTTCTGTAAATAATGTAGAATATACAATAATTATTGAGTAAGCAAATATGCATTGGGCATGGGTAAATAGTTTTGGGCTACGAAAAATTCAGAAGGCGATTATTGGAATGATGTAATATTTTACATACTCGTACATATGTATAACGCCAAAGCTTAAACTTTATAAAAATTATTTTGAATGCATTTTATTTACGTGTATTTTCGAAACCGCAAAATGGATAGCACTCTATTTTAATATAAATATAATCTAAATAATAAATAAAAACTAATTATATAAATATAAAGTTATTAAAAAAAAAAATAATATAAAATTAAACAATAATAAATTTAATAGTAATTTTAGATTTTTAATCTTAAAAAAAATTATTAATAGATAGCAAATTATGAGCAAATTGATTAATCAAATTTTTGTTAAAATTTTTTAATTTAATTATTAATCTAAATGACATGCATAAATTACGAATGTCAAAATAAATTCCAATTAAAATTTAATGCCGATTAAATAAACGCAAATATAGATATATGTATATATATATATTTATATTTATATATATATGTCTATATATATAGTGAATAAATGCACTCAATATGTATACATACATAAAAGGAAATTGTCATTTTATTTTAATTTTAAATAATTCTGGGGTTAAAGTAGCATCATAAATATTTTTCTAGTAACAGCAGAGGTAAATCATTGACGAAATTACGTTAATTTCCGGCTATAAAAAAACATTAACTAATAAAATAATTTATTTTTCAATAATTCTATATTTGAAAATATCGCAAATACGCAAATGATTCGGGGTTATCTCGATGCTAGTCACCGATGTATCAAAATATTTACCCTACAAGCACTTTGAGTTTACAGTTTTAGTAGCCATAAAAAATATTGTATTTGTGTATGTGAGTAGTTTATACCTATAACTTTTAAAATATTCCTATACACATGTATATACACATTTAATATACATAATGACTCTTGCATCAGCCAAGTGGGTGGCAAGGCACACTAAGAACCGATGCTCGCAGATTCTTATCCTGACCGAAAAGCTTCCGCGCCAAAACTTAAAATTAAATATGTAGTTAAATATTTATAATATTATAACAGAATACCTTAATTACAATGTGTTAAATGTGTTCGAGTATCAACATATAAATGTATATAAGGGTATATATGTATGTAAACATAAAACGTATGAGTCAGCCAAGATAAGTAATATAATCCAAAGTTCAAAACAGTGGCGGGATATGTATCGTCGCTATAAATAGTTGTATATATATGTATGCTTATATGCACGGCTTAGTGATAACAACAATTGCCTCTAAATAAAACTACATAAAATTAAACAAAGTAAAATATTATAACATTAAATAAAATAAAATAAAATAAATTACTTAAAATATAATATAATAAATTAATATAAAATTTAATTAAAATGAAAAGTAAAATATTAAACAATACAATCAAATGTTATCAAATTGATTTAAATAAAATAAAGGAAAGAAAAATTAAATAAAAAAAATCAAACAAAATAAAAAATTAACAAATAAAAAAAAAATGAAGAAAATAAAATAAAATTGAACTAAATGAAATTAAATAAATAAATGATATATAATAACATTAATAGAAATTATGTAAAATAAAATAAAATAATGCACAATTAAAAGAAATTAATTTAATACGCTCTTAGCGTAAATAATATGAAATTAAATTATACTAAATTAAATAACTACAACACAATAAAATAAAACTAAATTAAATTAAATTAAATTAAATTAAATTAAATTAAATTATATAAACTAACTGTAACTTGCAACGCTTCGCTGTGGCATATATTCAATGAATGTATGAAAAATGAATCATTAGATATCATTTCATCATTACTCAACACTAGTGGACAGTTTTGGTTTTACCATAGGCCACTAAGGACAAAGAATTAAAAAAGTCCTGTTGGATAATTGATCTGATTGATCTGCACCACAACGGTGTCTATTGACTTATATATATGCATGTGACACCTTCGCTTTCAATGTTGAATTGAATAGAATTGTTGAGATCGTAGACATTTTAGTTTGTTTCTTCTTTTGATGTTACTAAATTACATCGGCAGTCCAATCAATCACCATTTCCAGTAACTGGTGGGAAAATGCATGGTTGGTGCGCATATTTGGTGGTTAATTACTGCGTTGCCGGTCAGTCGGTCGGTAACTTTTTGTTATATACCTTTGCAAAGGAATGTATATATAAATAAATATACATATATGTAGTTTAATCTTAAAGTATTATTTATGTATAATTCGAGCAAATCCAACTTGTTTCCAGGTCTCTGGTTTGGTTCGTTTCCAGGAAACAAAAGTATTCAATTTGGCACAACGTGTATCATCTAAAAATTTAACTACCACGAACCATGCATACTTATAATTACAAAAGGGGGAGGATCCAACTACACGGTCAATAATTACCCATTGAAAAACATTTATTTTATTTTACAAAGAAGGTATAATTCAATCATTATAAAACTTTGAACATTTTTAAAATAGTTTAAAATTTTTTTTTTTTTTTTTTTTTTGAAAAGAGGATGACGGCTGTGCGCTGGCGTGAAGTCGACCTCCAAAAAAAAGGGCAATCTCTCTGCACGTCGTATTATTGATCTGGAACAGTCCATAAAAATTTGTGGGCTTAAATATACATGTAATTTGTCGGTATACCTTCAAAATTAAAAAAAAAAATAATAATTCTGCGTTTGGTAGAAGTTTTTGTAAAAAAACGATAATTTTCCCTATTTTTTCCAGCTATTTTTGTATTAATAATTCAATATTGTAACACAAAAATTCCAAATCATTTAGGTTTACAGACAAGGAGAAGAAACCCAAAAAATTTCAGCTAATTTGGACAAGAATTTTTCGAGTAATAGAGGTTGTCCATTTTAAAAAGGTTGTTTTGAGGAAAACTCGTTTAAAGTTCTGAAAACCTGTTATGCGCTAAAAAAAGGCATTCTCGAAAAATGAAGAAAAAACATATGTATAAGGGGTTCGATTTTCGATCTGAAACTTTTTGGAGCATTCTACGGGATATTTCCTAATTTTTAGAGGAACAAAAAAATCTATTTGTTTGACCTTCTAATTGTGTCTACACCCTTAATATGATTTTTTTCGCAAGAAACCACAAACACGTATATATGCTGAGCCGAATAGTTCAGTCCGTGATCGACTTTGCGAATTTTTTTTTTTTTTTTTTTGTATAAACCTTTCCGGACAGTAACTTTTGAATGCAATTGTGTTTTAATATTTAATTTCTAATTTATTTTGCATTTTGAATTAGTTACCTATTTATCTTGAATGACAATTACACAATTTCAAACTTTACATACGTATGCTCATATGACATGTATGTACATACATATGTATGTATTTAATGGAAGTACATATTACTTTAATAAAAGTATATCTTATGTAGTGTAGAGAAAATTAAATTTACTTTAAATATAAAAAATAACTTAATTATTGGTTGATTCCTAAAATTCACAAATTCACTTGGCCATAATAATAATAATGTACAACAAAAATAGTCATTAATATTGCCATTCTGTACCTTTAGGTACATATTTTGCTAAATAACTTAAAAATTGATTAATACTCTGAATATCCGCCATTGTTCTTGATACCTCTGTCGATTCTTCCGAGCATTGATGGTATTAATATCCGACAAGATTCAACAAGAGTGTCAATACTAAACTTTCTGGTCTTCGATATTTCCCTCTCAAGTTGCGCCGAGAGATTCTATACAACCCTGAGCTCTACAACACTGAGCTCTATGGATTTGCTTAGCCATTCAAAGAAATCTAAATTATGTTCTTGCGACCATGATTTCACATACCGTGATATTGTTTAAAATCATTATCCTACTGTAATTTCCTAACAACGGCATACTATGGTCGGTATATGGTAAAATCTATCCACGACCCCATCAATGTGATGTATCTGACCAATATCCTCCTACGAAAAACAGTCCCACACCATACGCGGCTTTTTTTCTTTATTTTTTTGGTGAAACATTAATTCTTTTATTCCGCGTAAGTAGTCTTTCAATCACCGTCGTGACCAAACAAACTCATCTTTGTTTCATTGCTCCATGGAATATTACGTCATTTTTTTCTCTCTCTGATGATTGTTAAGTTTATTGAAATACGGCAAAGTGTTTAGCTAATGTTCGAATTCGATTATCGCTTACTGGCGAAGTCTCTTTATGTACTCCGGGTATTTCATTCAGTTTTTCTAGTTTGAAAACATTTGTATCGAAATTTTCAAAGCGACCTATCGGTCTGAACTCTGCCCAACTGTAGTCAAACAACCGTCTAAATTCGTTAATTTTTATTTTCTACCAAAGCACAACTATTTTATCAAGAAGAATTTCTATTGCGGGTACTTCCCTACTTTACTTACTATTTGGTTTTTTCGGCTTACGCCCAAAGAACGTGCGGAAATAGTTGCAGTGTACATTGAGTGCAATCGTTCAGTTGTTGCAACACAGCGTGCGTATCGAAAAAAAGTGACTGATGAGACCCATCTCACGCCCTCTGGAGGTGTAAATGCACAAAACTGTCGCTTTTTGGGGAAAGAAAATCATCATGTCATTTCGGTGTCTGATCAAAAACCATCATTGCGCTGTTCTTCTTCAAAGTTGGGGAGGCTATCAACGGGGATCGGTAGCGGTGGATGTTGGCGCACTTTGTTTTACTAGCGATGTCACACAGCGGAGGCAACGATGAAAATCTTATGGCCAAAGTTCCCCGGACGTGTGGTATCGAAAGGAGGAGATATCCACCAGACTTTTTCTTGTGGCGATTTTTGAAAGGCAAACTGTATGCCAAGAAACCGAAGAATTAAGACGAGCTGAAGAACAACATTCGAGCTGAAGTCGCTGCGATATTGCCCGAGATGCTGGCAAATGTCATGGAAAATGCAGAAAAAAGGGCGAAGTATTATTTGTACAATGAAGGGAG